TTTTTTTTACAGAATAGCCCTTGTTGCATCTGAGCGGCTCGTCTGCCTTCGAGTGGCTTAACCCAGTGGTAGTTAGCCTGCAATTACGATGAACTAGCCTTGGATGAAACGTTCTCCATTACTGATGGGCAGAGGGTTTGACCGTGTCGTCAAATACTCGGTATAGGTCTTCACTAGGCCACAATGACTAACGTTTCCTTTGCACAGCACGGAATGTTAATAGCATCGGATTATTCCTTCATTTGGAGCTAAAGGTACCGTCAGATTTTATCAGAATGATCGGTTATGTATTTAACCTTAATTAATGAAGCAATGGTTGAGGTTCTTCGGTTAGGATGTATTTTTCTCCAATAGCTACAATATCTTCTTAGTGTATCTGTTCCTTCTAATCCAGATGTATTGAATACTGCTTTTAATATTATTTAAGCAGTTCGAATCCTCAACGTACTAATTCAATTTAGACCATAGCAAGTTTACATCATATCATTATTGATTTTAATGAAGATTGCTGTAAATGTTACATTTTTACATTTCAGTCTCGTTGCAAGGCATCACAGACAAATAGACATGTACAAAGATGACCCAGATGTTATCAGCCAGAATCATTCGCCTCTTACGACCTCCGTTTCCATGACCGGCATCGAGGCTCGTTTTGTCGGATCTACCGGCCATGGGGTTGAACTTTTCGGAACTCCTGATGAATTTTCCGGAAGTCGGCATGCCATCATTGCTTCTCATTCACGAAGTAGTGAAGATGAGAACGACGATGAGGATGAAGATATCACTCCTCCTACTGGCTTGTCTATGTGGACTGTGGTACTGCTCAACCTATCTTACATGGGTCTTAATATGCTCGTTCTTATTCTCTCAGTAGAACGTAAGTCTCTTACCTCAAAAATTTATATGAGCATTAATTTCTACTTTAGTTCTCGATCTTTCTCGAAATCGCGTCCACAATTAGTTCTTTTTCCTGTAACAGCAAGTTAACATGTAAGAGTTTAGAAGTTGTCTGATCTCGTTTTCACAACTTGGTCGTACAATCAGGGCGACTTAGTTGAACGCACCTTGTCTTCTGCCATACTATTCATCATAATTCCCATCGTCAGACCGTGGACTTGGTATATTCTCAGACGTTTCGCCGGTATCGGCATTGAGTCTTGCCTTTCTCAGCACCAAGGCACAAATCCTCAAAGAGACAAGTTAAGTCAATCCATTGACCAATTTTCTGCCGAAAAGGTTGTACTATCACTCCTCTTTCTGTCCTGGCCCATCTATCTACTCCCTACCCTCTTGTCTCGCTCCCGCCCTATCACAGCTTCTGACCGGTTTATATTCCACTCTTAAAAAGGTGTGTATTTTTTACCGAGTTTAATGTAGCGTCACCACACCTGCTGTTTACCTTGTACCCCTCCCTCCCTATTTGTTGATCTAAGTCGGGCGTGCCAGGACAGAAAGAGGGTTGATAACATAACTGTTTGGCAGAAGGCTAATCAAGGGATTTACTTCGTTTGTCTCTTTGACGAGTTGTAGCTTGGTGCTGAGACGATGCCAGTGAAGAGATTGGGAATGTACTTAGTCAACGATCCAACGCTTGGAATTATGTCAGATGAATTCGGACAAGGTGTGTCCTGACTACAAGACCATATTGCGAAAGAGAGGTTAACCCACTTCTATACATCGAATGGAGACTGATATAGAGATAGAGGCCATAACGTCTTGATGTTCCTATCTATGGGTAAGAGTTTAGTCTACGAAACACCCTAAATTTCACCAATTCGGTTTCGGTTAAGGTTTACAAAGCCATTCAATTTTACGACATCCCATTCGACGCAGGTGGTATGCGACCATTCTTTCAGCGTTCGGACCGTCGTATTATTAAATCCCACTGATTAGCAATAGTTAATTTATCAATTTGGTATAGTGATAGCCTGAAATCAATCACAAAATATCGGATACTCATCCTTATGAATAAATTTACATCTATTTTGTTAACATAAAGCAATACAGATTATTCCAGCTTTTATCTGTGGTAATTTATTATTTATTGGTAGATTTAAAACTAGCACCAAAGACTTATTATATTTATTTACTGCATACTATCGAATGATTTTGTGTCAATCTCATTATTCTAAGCAAACTATGCTTCACCATTAAACACATTCTACTCATCAAAGATCGTCCAAAAT